AGTGGAGCTGCCTGACGGACTGGGGCTGGAACACACAACTGGGGTGTTCATCCAGATGGCCAGGGATCACAAAGCACAGACCAGCCTCTGACACAAGACACCGAAGTGAGATGAATTTCTTGGAAATGCGCTCTTCCACACCTTAAAATAGCGCAGGCTGTCCTCTCCCTTCCCATGTGCTGGAGGGTACCAGAACTGCAAAACATTCTACATTTGGCTGCAGCTAATTTAGCTTTCATTTTACAAAACCCACACTAATCCCCCCATGTTAAAAAGAATATGCTTCCTGCTCAGTTAACTCTGTGTGGCAGGAAGAAATTCTTCCTTTGTATTTTTAGCAGCAAATACCAGCTACAGGCACCAAAGTTTCCCGCTACATTCTACACCACTTTCCCCAAATGCACAGGTCTCTTCATCCAGGATTGGGGGATAAAAGGACTGTGGTTCTACAGATCCAACAAAGCAATCCCTCCGATTAAGTGCTTTGGGAACTAAGCACAGGGCAGCACGACGCATCCCACGGCAGCCAGGAGTAAAACAAAGTCAAAGCCAGGCAGAATGAAAAAGCCTCGTGGCTCAGGCTTTCCCCTTGAAGCTTTGTAAGTCTCTTCTGCATTCAGAGGGACTCAAAGCAACCTCGGGAATAGGTTTGAGTCTGGCTCTGTGCAGAAGCACACTGAGAGCAGAGCCTGCGCAGAGGAATAATGACTGGCTTATGTTCTTCCCAGGCAATGGAGGAAGAGTGCAGGAGGATGCATCTGACGACTCCTCTAACCCAAATCCAGAGGTGAGCCCCTAAAATGAAAGAGTTTCTTCATGTACTATTTAGTTTAAAAAAAAAAAATTTTTACTTTCAGTAACAATATAATTTATTTTTTAAAGTAAATTAATCCACCTTTCTTTAATTATACGCCGGTTCTGGCAAAGAGAAGCAGCAGGTACAGTTGGTGAAGTATTTTCATTTGAGCTGAATTTCACACAGTTCCATGCAGATACAGTGCCAGAAACTTCTTGAATGTGTCTGGCTGAAAGCCAGAAATTCCAGCGGGCTTCTGCAGAGAAAAAGACACGGATGCTCAGTTTGCAGTGAAGTGATTAATGTAGACAAACAACGGCTTTAAACATGCTTGAATAAGACTTTCAGGCATGGCAGCTTCCAAATTGTGCTCTCCCTCCCCAGAAGGGTTTGGGTGGGGGTACTTCCACTGGTGTCAATCTCAGAGGGCAGAACCCCTTTGCCTGTGAGTGAGATGCCCTCCCAGCATAACCAGTACTGGCAGCTCTGTGCTCTATTTACTCCCCAGAGAGGCTGATGGTCTCGTGTGAGAGCTCCTTTCCTCAGAGCTGGCTTTGAACAAGCACACTATGAGATGGTGGATTTCAGCTGGGGGTATCTGTATGCAGGAGTTCACGTTGAGCTTGGCATGTCACACATCAGCACTACAAATACCCAGGAACTGTCTCCTCAGAAATACCTGCTTGGGTGAAAATGAGGCCAATGTCCCCTTCGGGTCCCCCCAGCTAGTTTAAAACCAGCTGCAGCTCTGTGCCAGCTCCCAGACCCCAGCTGTGGTGAAAGGGCAGCATTTCCACCACCATTTCCCAAGTTTTCCTTACCGTAACAACTCTCTTCTTGACTTCTGGGACACACTGGGCTCTCTCATACAGGTTCTGATCAGAGTCAATCCAGACCAGATTTTTTATGCCATCATTAGAGACAAGGTCTGTTGTATTTAACTGGAACACCATGAACTGGAAGAGCTGTCCATCTGTGCCAATGCTTTGCACCACTACTGGCTGTTCCAAAACCTTGGGATCATTCTAGGAAAAGAAGGGGCATGTGGGGGAGAATGTTTCAAAAGCTAGTTACAACAGAAATTGTATGAGTACTTGCTGATTCTGCATCTTTGGGTTGGTTTAAAGCCAAGATTTTAATAAATATATTGTTACCTTGCCCAGAAAATTACTCTAGTCAAACAAGTTTTGAATGTAGATTTGGTATTTTAATTAAAATTCCTCCTTCAGCCAGCACTGAACTGTCAATTTACATACTGAGCTGTGGGATGGGTTAGAGTTTCACAGCTGAACTTATTCCCCGGTCCCTGCTGCATCACAAACACGCTCATTGCTCAGCAGTGGATTTCTGGATTTCTGAAGGCCGGGTTTTCACCTCTGCACTGGGAAGCTTGGATGTGAAAATCACTGTAAGGGGCTTTCAGGCCTCCCTGCACTGTCTGCAGCAGCAGGGGAAGGGAGAGGCCCAGCAGCAGGCTCCCATACGTACCCCGTGGAGCGCCCTGGCCTTGGCCAGCGCGTTGCCAAAAGCAAACATCAGCATTTTAGCACGGAGCTGTTCTGGTCTGAACCTGTCCGTGCGAACGTTGGCAGACTCCAGGAAGAACAGGGTGTGAGGATGAGAGTAGGGATAACCATCTCTGAAACCTAAAGGGCACATACTCATGTCAGAAGCAGCTCAGGAAGACACTAGGCAGCCAAGGCTTTCTCCCATTATCTTCAGGAACTGCTCAAGCAGTTTGCTGGGGTTTGAGTTTTGTCCTCAGCCCTGCTTAGGCAACAATATCCACACAGGGATCTGGAGCACTTGCACTGCAAACCTGTGCCTGTTCCTCTGTCCCTCATTCCCACACACTCCCTACTCTCAGCTGGCCCCAGAAGGCCCAGGAGTGCCAAGCTAAGCCAAACACAGATAATTATCATCAGCACTGACCTGTGTCATTGAGCTCTTTGTACACATTCACCTCCTGAAGATCGATTGTAGGCGCAATGGGATAGAAGGTCTCCAGAACATGCTCTTTGGTGGCCAGTATCTCCTCCTTGGAGGCTACTGGTGGTATTGGGGTCTTAGAGTTCATGAGAATTCCACTCAGGCCACGGACCTGAAGGAGGATGGATTCTGGGGAGGGAAATTAGGCTACAGTCAAACACTGGTGAAATAACATCAGGGAAAGATGCACATTTCCTTTTGCCAGTCTGTTCTGCAAGGCTCACTCTGTCCCACTCACCTCCAAACCCATCTTAAATAGTAGCTCAGCTGTAGCTTCTTCATCTAAAATGCCAACGTTAATTGCTAGAACTAAGTTCTTAACTAAACATCCTTAGAAAAACAACAGCAATGATTTAGGACATAAGAAAATAAACAATTTGGTTTGTTTAAGACATTGGTTCCCTTCTCCCACCATCTTGTCAATACTGATTAACACCTAATAATCTCCTCAGGGACAGCATTCTGCCATCATCCAAGGCTGCCCATGCCAACAGTGCTATATAAACCAGAAAGAATTACCTGGCTCCAGAAATTGTTTAATTTTTTCCAAGTCCTCAGCCTTAAAGCCAGGAGCTTTGCTACCCCTCTTATCTTACCAAGCTAAATGCTTCCACCACAGCAGCAACTGACCTCTTTCCCATGTTGCTGCTATCCTTAAGTTTCTAGCCAACATCCTTTTACTCAGAGAAGGATACTTCCCAGACATTAACCGGCATATATGTATCAGGTTTTCAAACAGCATTGGGCTGTAAAACAAGAAAAGAAACAGTTACATAAAAATGAGATCATAATAGCAGGCAGATGCTTCCGGGGGACAAATGCTGTAAAATTACTGTATGTAAAACATACAATGGCATAACACTCCCAAACAGTTAACAGAGATTGCAGATTGATATCACACACACCAGGCCTGTTTCAAGTTGGCAGAGGTAATGCTTACAATTACTTTAAAAACTGATACTCTGCATCAGCTAGTAGATTTTGAGTTGAAACAGACATTGGCCTGAAAGAAGCTTTGATCTAGTGTATTTATGTCAGTGCTACTGTAAATATTCAGAATTGGGTTTTATTTGTTACTTCGGCTGTTGCTTTTTTTGTCTGACAATCTGATGAAGAGGGTCTTGCACAGCAGACCCTCTTCCCACAGAAGAGCTGTGTATGAATTGTCTCTGGAGTTCAAAACCTCCCTTACAGCTGAGGACTCACCAATATCGCTCCCTCCTGGGAGCGACCTCTGCCGTGTCCCAGAGCCGCGCGTGGGACACCATGTGTTTCGCCCTCTCCTCGAGCTCCTGGAGCCCAAGGGCCGGGTTATCCATAATGCCCTGCACGGCTGGGGGCAAACCCTCCACGAGCTTCGTCTTGGTGAGCCACTGCGCCTGCCGCACTCCTGGAAACACAACCCAAGGCGATCTGGGTGATGCTCAATGCCCCCCTCCAACCCCAGCCTGTCTGTGACCGAGGCCGCCTGGCAGCTCATGCGGCTGGGCAGGCTCTTCACAGTGTTTTACACTCTGTGCCAGGAGAACCCTTGGCAGGAGGGGCAGGCAGGGCGAGTGCTTGGCCAGGGGACAGCGCGGGGCGTCGGGTACCTTCCAGCATGCGGACACCCTGATGGCAGATGTAGCAGCCGCGCTCCTGGTACAGCGGCATCTCCTCGTAGCGCGGCCCCGGCGAGTGCCAGGGGTCGCGCCAGCCGCGCTCCCAGGGCGGGAAGCGCGGCCGGGCCAGGCCGGGCACGTAGTGCAGCCGTTCCGCGTATGTGACGGTGTCCAGCTCCACCTGCTCCCGCACCGGCCGCGGCTCCGCCATCTCCGCCAGCACCTCCGGCGGCGGACCCCGCACGGTCCAGGGCGTGCGCGGAAGAGGCGCGCGGTGGCGGGGCCGCCCCGCGCGGGTGGCGATGCCGCGGGTGAGGCCCCGCGCCGCCGCGGCTGCCACCACCCCCGCCCGCCTCAGCGCCTTCGGCCCCGCCGCCATCGCCGCCATCCTCCTCCTCCCCAAGTGGCCTCAGCGCCCGCCCGCCGCCATCTTGGCAAGGGCTCGTCCCCACCGTCACCCCCCGTGACTGACGGCGGCGGCGGCCAATGGCGGGCAGGCGCGCCCCGCGGTAAGGGAGGGTCGGCAAATTGCCTGGCGGGTGAGGGCAGGCGCTGGGTTGGCGAGTGGGAGGTGGGAGGGGAGAGGCGCCTCGTCGCCTGTGGGGCGGCGAGGGGGCACTTGAGAGACCGTCCCTGGGCGGGAGCCGGCAGAGCCGGCTCCTGTGTCCCGGGGCTGGGGCCGCTCTGCCCCGGGCGCGCACAGTAAGTGCTCGGAACTCTGTAAATCTGTGTAGCTCCCAGCCCGGGCTTCTCGGACTCACCCCCGGCCACGGGGGTTACCCTCCCGTTCGTAGCCCGTGGGTGCTCCGGGCGGACGGGGCGGTAGGAAGCCGGGCGAGTCGCCTTGGGTTCTCTCTTCCGTTCCCCGCCTCCCTCATTGAAATGAGTGTGTTTCTGTTACAGGGCTGAAGGTTAGTTAATTAATTGACCTTGACAGCGAAACTGCTGGAAGCGCTAAATGTTCGCTTCCTCCGCTTCGTCACCCGTGGCTTCATAATTTCCTGTGGACCGCTTTGTGTCCGAGGGCTGCGGGCACGGGCGCGTTGTGAGCAGCTTCACTCGGGCCGGGTGTGAGCGGAGGGCCCCGCAATGTCTGCAGCGTGGTTTTGACCCGAGGAGTGCAACTCACTGGGAAGCAACGGGAGCAAGGGATAAAATCCTGTGCTTCCTGGCCTCCCCTACCTGTGCGTTTAAAGCCGTGTATCCAAAGCCCCGTAACCAAAGTGGGTGTTTGCCTGAGACTTCGCCGTCTTTGCCTCAGGTCTCTTGGCTCCGAGCGCCGCTTTCAGCTCGCTGCCCTCCCCCGCTCCAAAGCTGCGCAGTGCTCAGGCCGCAGCTGGTTTGTTACCCATTGTCCTGGTTTGTTACCCATTGTCCTGCTGCTTGGGTTTGTCACCCTTTCTCCTGGACCGAGCAGCGGATTTTTAAGATGTTTCTGCTCCGGGTGACCAAGCAGCTCTATTGTAGGAGATCAGCGCGGCGGAACGAGCGGGATTCAAGGGTGTAGCTTTGCCTGGGCAGCCTGTGTGGGGAGCAGGGCCCGAGGCTGGGCTGAGGCTCTGCTCTGGGCTGCTGTTCGTGCCGGGGCACTGAGCACTCGAGCACAAATGGGGTGTTGCAGGCACAGATCAGCTCCAGGTTTTCGGTCTAAACGCGCAAGACGCTCAAGAGAGATTTCCTGTCCTTCCCCGAAAACACCCAGCTGATGAGCACACGCTGCTTTTCGTCGTGCTGGGTTTGATGCAGGGCTTGTGTTTTGCAGGCGATGAGTGACAGCGAGGAGGACTGGCTGGCTCTGAGGCCCCAGGAACCTTCTCCATCCCAGTGCTGCGGCAGCGGCTGCAAGCCCTGCATCTACGATGTGTACGAGAAGGAGCTTGCACGGTGGGAGAGAGCCAAAGCAATGCAAGACAAAAGCCTTCTCGTGGGAAAGGAGGAGCAGGTCGATTTCTCTTCATCGCATCCTGGAGCTTGTGCTTTGATCGCACTCGTTCCAGTGTGGGGTGGTGGTGATGGGTGAGGGATGCAGGGATGAATTCGAGTGGTGCCTTAAGAGAGGGCTGTAAATGCAATTCCCCAAACTCAGCCTTCACCCTCCCCCTTGGCCACTCTCTCCCTGCTGTAATGTGATTTTCCAAGTGTAGAGTTCTCCCTGGTGTCGCATTACAGCTCTGGCTCTGCTGCTTCTTCCTTTGAGAAGCTTTGTTTTCCTCACCTTTCTCATCTTTGCCTGATTTTTAGGCTCGTATTTTGATGCCGAGACAACACTGCGTTGTGTGCAGTGGAGCAGTTGTCTTCAGAGTGTAATTTTTAAGCCTGTCAGTGCCCTTTTACGTTAGATTAACTATGCTGGGTCAAGCAAAAAAGATCAGCTGAAACAACTGACAATATTTTCTGTTCACTGTGGCCATCAGCAGGTTGCAAAGTTGCCCCCAAAGCAGTGCTTGGCTCTTTTAGCAGAATTATTTCTGTTTGTTTCCAGACCTGAGAAAATGATCACAGTGAGTCATAATAGGATGACCTTGCTGTAAGGTGTAAAAAAAAAAGTAATTTAAAAAGGTGGTGGTGGGGAGAAATGCAAGATCCCAAAGTGCACGCTGCAGAACATGATAATGAATCAGCAGAGAGCTGGAATTTGCGCCGGGCCTCAGTGTTTAATATACGTCCTGAGTATCTCTGGCACTAAATGAGCACACACGTTTGCTTCCAGAGAAAAATGAAATAATAAAAGACACCATCTAACCAAGTAATTATTTATTGTTGTTCTTGCAGAGCAATAATTCAGAGCTGAATCCAGATACATTCACTGCATTCAGCGTGAGCTCGGTGCAGCAGCTGACAGAGGACACCTACCAGTACAAATTTGAATTACCGGGAAATAGCAGCCTGCCATTGAGTTTAGGACAACATATCGTGTTAAGGTATTGTTCTCTGTGCTAGTTAAACAGTCTGCATTATGTAACCTAACACGTAGGGTTTTGTCACTAGACAAAGGCTTCATAGCAGGCAAATCATGATTTCTGTACCTCCACAATGACACAGATGAAAGAGCTCGTGAGCTCGCTGCCTCTACTAATTCTATGGTAAAAGCTGTAGTTTTCTTCAGCATTATCCCTGCGTTGGTGGCTCAGAAAGAACTAGGTGTGATTAAGAAAATATATTTGCAGAAAGAAAGATCTAAAAGAATAGGTGTTACAACAGATTATTTACTCCAGCGTGTCGGAATGAAGACAATGAGCTGCACTTGCCCCAGAGCTGGGTGTTTTAGGCCCTGTATCTTGGGGTAACTCAGCACCCCAGTACCCAGGCACTGCCTGACTGATTTCTAGCAAAACAACCCTCCTATGTCGTTTGCTGCTTGCCAGAAAGGGGCCACTTGGGGAAAGTTTCTGTCTCTCAGCCATCTGTGGTGATCATTGCCAGACAGAGAAAGTCCTGTTAGATGCCATTGATGTGCATCTGTTGACGTCCCTGGTACGTTCAGGGCTGGTGTGTGCAGCTGGCTCTGCTGGCAGCACACGCTCCTCCCTCCAGCCCTGCCTCATCACACAGCACAGGAAAAGCTTTGGTCACTTCAATCAATTCCTGTGGTCAGTAGCAAAGAGCAGGGTGGATAATTCCATGGAAAGGGAATACTTACAGGAAAATACAGTCTATATTGACAAGGCCTGAGGTCAAGGCTGTGCCTTGGCTTTTGTTATTTGATTACCAGATGCTGACTGGATGCATAAAGTGACCCCAGCCTAAAAGGAACAGCAAACTTAAGTGTTTTCTCTCCCCTTTGCCACTCATGCATGTTCTTACAAAATCCCTCTCAGGGGTGTGGTAAATCCCTTTCAGGAGCTGGATGTGGTACAGCTGAGGCCACCACCGGGAAAACAAAAGGTGCTGTTAGCCATTCTGTTCCCCCTGGATTTCTGCCTCTGGAAGGGAAATATTTTGCATCTGTGCACAGGCTGGGCCACTGGGCAGAGGATCTGTCTCCCAGAGAGCTGCAGGAGCCCCCCAAATGACCCAAGTCACAGGGATTTCCTGTTTGTCTTCTCAGAGGAGTGGTGAATGGTCTGGAGGTCCAGAGAGCCTACACTCCAATTAGCCCCAGGAATGCAGAAGGTTACTTTGAAGTTCTAATCAAAGTAAGTAAGCCTGGACAGTGTGAATTAGAGTATAAGGTGTTTTCTTTAGGAACCAAGCATGCTGTCAGTGTTTCAAGTGAGATTCTCTCAAATCCCTCATGGACTGTTTCTCTGTTGTTTTGAAGCATTCGTGCTTTGCTGATAAAAATTGCAGTTTTTCCTACAAAACTGAAAGCAGAATGAGTTGACACACAACAAGTGCTTTGCAGCAGAAGCCCTGGGATTGCAGCAGAGAGCCCCTGGGATGGAGAGATGTGTCCATTCCACTTCTCTCCTTTTGTTTTGCTTTTTCGGGCTGTCTTTGAAATTGCATCCATTTGTCAGCCCAGCTGAACCACAGATTTTGGGAAATATTTGCCCTTATCCTCCCCTCTGTATTTTACTTGACAAGTGTCCTCACTCTTATGGAGTCAACCACAAAATGCTGGTTGGGTTCAAAAGGATTTTATAGGAAATTTGGCTGGAAATTTGTCTCATGTCAGTCTTCAGGGTGCTCATAAATTACTATTTTGTGTGGCAAATACTGACTTGAGTATATTTCCAATACTGCATCTGTATGTCACCAGGGCAGACACAGACTTCAGTACAGGTGTGAAATTCAGAGTGCTGGGTATCCCAGGTGGCTTGCAGAGAAGGGCCACTTGTTCTCTGCCTGTCTTCCAGGATTTCATGTTTCTGGGGTTTATTATGCATTGTGTGTTCTAACACAATCCCTGCTCTTTAGAAAAGTGAACAGCTTCTCTAGGACACCTGTGGGAGGGTCATTTCCCCATTCTTGTGGCAATTGGTGTGTGGTGGGGAGAGAAACGTTGCATTTGAGTTGCATTAATAGGATACATTCATAGGATGACTGTGAAATTTCATGTATAGCAGCTCATTACTCACAGGTTTTGCATTTCAATAATAATAGTAATGATTGTAATGATACCTTTCCTTTATATAGAACCTTTCATCCCAAAAGGAGCTATAGTTATTCTTTGGCAGTGACAAAAGAGGTTGGTAACACCCAGTGTAAAGCAGCCATTTTTATAACTCACTCTGTAGGTTGTGGTATATTTCACACTATTGAGGCAATTTTGGAAAGTAGTATATTATTATTACTATGCAATCCAAGCACTGTTCAAACCCTTCTGTCTCCTGTTATTATGGCATTGCATTTGTGATACTACAGTTAAGAGTGAGGCAGTTGCCATTTACAGAGCATAACCCTCTTTTTGAGTGATTTTATAATGTTAGGGTTTCTCTCCATGTAAAACGGGGTGTGGAAGTTTCCCCCCAGGAGATACATTTTTTTTCTTTTTATTTAGAAAAACGCATTTTAAACCCACTCAATCACTTCAGTTTTTTTGGAAATAATTTTGGTGAAAGAAGGATTGTTTTAGTTTCCATTACCCCTGTCCTTCGGGAATAGGCAGTAAGGGAACTTTTCTGTTCTTGCCTTGGGTTTCTGGATGTGTTTGAAGAAGGGAGGTTTAAAATTTGCTTCTCTGAAGCAAGTGCACACTCTTTGCACGTGACTTAGCACCTGCCCAGAGCCCTCTGAACATAAAAGAATTCTGACAATAACTCAGAGCCTGGATATGTGTGTGATTTACCTTTTGAATCGTGCCAATACTTCTTAATATTTCAGGTTTAAGTGAGAGGCTGGGAGGGGAGGAGCATCTGTGTTCTTTCTTAGCTAACACTGCTTGCAAGCACAAGCACGGGCTCCCTCACTGGCTTTTTCTGAGCTGCTTTGTGGTTCACCAATTTTGTTTGCCTGCAGTGCAGCTTGGTGGCCAGCCAAGGCACTGGGGTGTGGAGCCGGGCTTCTCTCCAATGCCTGTGCAGGAAATACCCCCAAATACACTTCTTTTGTGTGGGCTGGAGTTGCCAAGGGCTGGTATCACATCCCATCTTCTGACCCCTGATTGTGTTGCTCTTCCCCAGGCTTATCCTTGTGAGAGCCATTGTGTGCTGCAGCTTTGAGCTTTTCAGCTCTTGCTGCTTGGGCCAGTCCTGGTTCTCCAGCCACATCCTGGACTGTGGCTGCTCTTTTGCTCACATTTCTCTCTTAAAACATTCAGTGGTCACACGTTTAGGGCATGGATGGCAACATCCAGGCTTGGATAAGCCCTTCATTTTCCAGCCTCTCATCCCTTCTCAGTTTCCAGCAAGCACTGAGTCCTTCTCCTCAGTCATGAGCGAGGTCAGCATTCCTGCAGGCAACAGCAATGTTGTTTGTGCCTGGTGGAAAGTGAGGCAGGTTTTTGCTCGTGTTTTTCTTCCATGGGGCCAAAATTAACATATTCTTTTGGAACTGTGGAGGCATCCCTCAGCATCCAGATGATCTGGTCTGAAAACAAAGAGTTTTACAAATGAGAAGCCTGACTTTGGGTCACTAATTGTATCAGCGCAGCATCTGAGAGACTGAAACAAAGCAAGAGCTATGCAGTGTTTATATAACTAACAGTACCCAGAGGGCATTTCCAGACCCCCATACCCTGAGATCTGGAGAACACTTGAAGGCCTGCACTGTGCTTTGCATTCAAGACACTCTTCTCTGTGTGCTTTGTAAGCAAGAACTCTGATAAGCTTTTTCCAGTTTTGGAAATTCAGGCTGCATGAGAGGAGGGTTGTGTTTACATTATAGTCAAGCTGGAGTGGTTCCAATATGATTTAATTTAAATGTCTTTGTTTTGGGTATAACTTTGAGTTATTTTTCAAACAGATCATTCTTTCTTTTTTAAATACACAAAGTGGGGGTTTTTTGTCCTCTTTTCGTTTAAACGTAGACAACTTTATAATCGACTTTAAGCTGGGAAACTTTCCAATGGAGTATAATTATTCTTTTCTTTTGTGCCATGTTTTTTATTAGTGCTATGAAGCTGGACTAATGTCACAATACATAAAAACGTGGAAAAGAGGAGACGTGGTCTTTTGGCGTGGGCCGTTTGGAGGGTTCCCATATCAACCTAATAAGGTTAGTTCCTAAGAGCCATAGGATGCTTCAGCCTGTGGCAGCAGGCTTTGTTCAATACTCTGAAGGGAAGACATCAATTTGATTACTGTTTTCATGATTATTTTAGAGACTTCCTGGGTTACTGTACAGTGTGACAGCATTAGCAGTCAGTTGGAGCGCTTTCTTGAACTGCAGAATATTTAACAGGGAAGAGGAGGTAGGTGGGAGACAGGAAAACATTAGCAAGGCTGTGTGTTCATCACTTGCATTAGGAGTTCCTGATGTGCCTAACAAAGGGAACTTTCTTTGCACCAGCAATGAGTGTGGATGGGTTTTTGCCTGATTTGACCCACATCTGTGTTGTGAGTGAGTAGGGGTGAAGGGGAGGTGTTAATCTCCCCCTCTCTTGGGTATTCCCTGAGCTGTTGAGGTGTCAGGTCGCTCCCCAAATGCTGATCCCACCTGCCAATACCAGGCTGGCTGCAGGGAAAGGCAGATCTGGTTTCAGGGGGAGGCTTCTCACACACACTAGTTCAGTTACTTAATTCTGACCTTTCAAATGAGGAGCAAATTTGAAACACTGGTCATTAAGATCCCAAACACTTTTGGAGTTTTTGGTGGATTTTTTTTTTTTTTTTTTTAATTTTTATTTTGCCCTAACAAAAATAAGTAAAATCTGAGTGGCCAAGCTCTATGCAGAGCAATTGTGTCCTGCTTCCTGACACACTCGTTTCCTCCAGAGGACATTCAGGATTTTACTTTGCAGCAACCAAGAGAAACCCAGGGAGCATTTCCAGTGGAAGAAAACACACAGTGGGTCAGCAAAGCATACTGCAGAATTGAAACTGAAACATGAATAATTGAAATCAAGGCTAAAGTTAGGATAAAGTAATATATTTGGGGAAAATCCAGTTTTGATAGATTTGATATGTCAATTCCTTAAGTGCTATCTGTAGTCCTTCGCAGAAAAATACTTTTTGGGATCTGAATTTACCAGTTCATGACCTTCTGGTGTGTTGTTTCTCAAGAGACCCTTTACCAGGATGGCAGCAAGAGGAACTGACCATGAGCACACCCATTTCCAGCCACCACAGCTCATTCCAAATTCTCTGTTTTGTTGTTAGCATGGAGAACTCCTCATGCTGGCCTCTGGCACCGGCCTTGCACCAATGATTCCCATCCTCCAGTCCATAACAGATGATGAAGAGGATGAAACCTTTGTAACTCTTGTTGGCTGCTTCCCAACCTTTGACAAAATTTATTTAAAACCTCTTCTGCAGGATTTGGCTCGGTACTGGAATATTAGAATATTTTATGTCCTAAGCCAGGTAAATAAATGGATGTGAATCATGTTTGTATGAGGGTTCTGTGTGCTGGATGAGCCTCTGCCTCCTCCACTTTTCCATAAGCAAAGCATGAGCTTAATTCTTTCCCAGTCATCAGGCCTAATTTGTGATCCAGTAGCTGCTGTTCTTAAACCTGCTGCATGTACTCACACTGCTACTCATCTGGAGAATTTTGGGGAAGTGGCCATGACTGTTCCTCTCTGCCTCCCTGTTCTGTTGGGGTGGACCTGCTGTTCCATAGTCACTGTTGGTTATTCCCCCCATTTTAGACAGTTGTTGTTGCACCCAAACAGCAAATAAGCTGTTTCTTTCTTCCTAATACCAATGCCTTAATCTGTCCTTGTCTTCCATTCTTCGCTCGTGGCTAGAGCTCTCCTCTGGTGTGCTATCACCAACTTCCCAGCAATTATTTTTCCTTGCTGACCCATTTTTAAACTTCTGAAAGTTGTCTCCCCCTCTGTAAAATCACTTTTCTGCCACATTCATGGGATGAGGGCATACCTCTCAAAGGTCTTACATTTTGAGCAGTCTTTTTCATTTCCATTTGGTCCCAAAGTTGCCTGTGTTCTGCATGGATTTGGTGGTTAAAAATTATTTCCGTCAGAAATGAGGATTCATTGCTGGGAGGATATAGAAAGAATTATTTATGCTAAGGGAATGAATCCCATTGCATTTTTAGTTCCTCAGATGAATCATTTCTTGAATCTCTCACAGTGGAACTGCCTCATACATTCTGTTCCACACGTGGCCTCAGCAGGATGAGATTTGGTAGAGGGAAAAGTGCTGGTGACTTGGGCACCCCCTCAGCTGCTCTGTAGGAGCATAACCATAATTGTCTCTGGTGACATGGCTTAAATACCCTTTTCAGAGTGTTTAAACTCTGACTGCTGTCTCAAGAGCATGAGGAGGCCTTGAAATTCAATCAGCAAAGGGCACAAAACCCACCTGACCCCTGTCAACACTGCCCCTCCTCTGTCCCTTTTTCCTCCTCTCTTAGCAGGTTTGTGGTAGTCCAAGGCTGGCTTGTGCATTCTCCCTCTTGGGATTATGTATCTGTCTGTATTTCATTGTGCTGCCTGTCACCACCACATCTGAGCACCTTCTGCTCCTGATTAATTGCAGCAGGGGAGTCCCTGCTGGATCCAGCACCACAGGAGCTGACACTTCTCATGGGATCAGAGCTGTCTCTGGAGCAGAGCTGGCTTCTTTCAGTTTTGGTCAAGGGAGATGGGACTGAAAGAGACTTGGGAATGGGAGAGGCAATGGAGAGGAATAGACTTGGGATTTGGAAATAGGAAAGGTGCCCTGGGAGATGGTTCTCAATGGAAAAGGTTCTGCAGCATTTATTTGTGATAGTTACACTCTGGTTTTGAGCGAGCGGCCAGGTCCTGTGGCAGGGAAAGATTTCATCTGGGCTTGGGAACAGGAATGAAGCTCTCAGGAAGGGTCAGTGTCACCCACAAGGTGTCACAAAGGTGGAAAACCTCCTGTGCACCACTCTGAGGGGAGGAGGGAGATTTAGCTCTAAGGAATGCTGTCTTTTTTAATATCACACACAGCAAACCTTTTACCTTTCCAGGAAACTTCGCTGGAAGAACTTCCTTGGAGCTATCAGGAAAACACATACACTGGTCGTCTCAGTGAAGACTTGATGAAGACAATAGTAAATTCCTGTCGAAGAAAGCCATTTGTATTAATCTGTGGCTCTTCTTCATTCAGTGAAGATATGAGTAGATACTTGAAAGCTGCAGGAATTGAAGAAGATTCCTGTTTTGTCTTTTAGCAGTACATTCCTGACCTGAGGAACCTTAGGCTGAGCCTTGGAGGTCCTTGCTTCTTTGCAGACATTGCACAAAATGGGCCTGCTCAGAAGACTGAGCTCCTTGGAGCAGCTGTTTGTTGATCCTCACTCTGGGGTGTTTTAAGGAACAGGTGCCATTCCAGAATGGCTGGTACATGGTGTGCCACCCATACCTCAGGGACCTGCATGGCCATTTTAATGGAAGTCTTCAAGTGCAATTTTAAGAGAGAGATCTCCTAGATAACTAGAAAGCATCTAGTTATCTAGGGGTACTAGAAAGCATCCATGCACACAGCTGTGCTGTAATATGAGGATTGGTGACTTGCTTTGCCATCTGTGTTATTCTGCAGTGGTGTTGTGCCCTGTTAGGTGTCCAGAGGAGGAAATCCTCAGGGATTCTTGCCAGGCTAAGGGGACATCAGACTTGGGATCACTTTGGTTCTGTCACGTGCAGGCTGATGTGAGGCAAGTCCCTTAAACCTCACTGTGCCTCAGTTGCCCCACTGTACATTAATACAGAGAAAGTGGCACTGGTCTCTGAAAACAACCCTTCCAGCTATATATGGAAAAAGTATCCATAAGGATGGAATGATACATCCTGTCTAGTGAGAACCTAGGCAGGCTGAGCTCCTGTCCTGGCACAGCCTGTGTTACCTACCCTGTGTTTAGCCCTTGAAATGCTACCTGGGGACACAAAGAGCACGTCCTAAAACTGGGAGGGCGTGGCTGGGTGGTGGCTGCTGTCTGTCAGGGACGATGGTTATTTGCTTTCCATGTCCCCTAAGTGTTGTAGCATAACCCTTGCTCGTTAAATTGAACCTCTTTACAAATAAACAGCTGTTTGATGTTGTCACAGGACTCTCTCAGGTGCCTGAGGAGGTTCCCTAAGCATACAGAAACACCACCTGAGGAGGGAAAGCTGCATGGTTTCTGCTGGGGTGCTTCCCTGTGGGTCAGGGAGGAGAGCCAGGGAGCTGCCTCAGGGATGGCAGCCTGGCACAGCACCAGCCTGGGCACCTGGGCCTCTTCCTCTTTTTTTTCAGTCCAAAATGCTGCTGCTTTTTCTCTGAGGTATGTGCTATCCACACTTTTACCTTTTCAGACTGGTGTGTTTAGTATCTACACCTGGAAATACTACAGTCCTGCACACCTTGTGTCTTTCTGTTCATTCCCCGTTCATCCTCTGTTGGAGTTTTCCAGGCTGTCTCAGATGATTATTGCATTATCATGCTTCTTTGTTACCTGTGTCTAACACTACACAAAGGAAATGTAGTTTGTTACACAAAAAACACAGCGTGCACTGAAGTGGTGGCTTGATTCACACATTTGGGAGGGAGTGTAAGTTCCCTTTGCACTGCTGAGATTTGTCTCCAGTTACCAAATGCCTGGAATTATTCAAGTGTAGCTGCAGCTTTCATATTAACTTCCTTGGAGAAAGGGCTGACAGGAAAGCCATCTTCCTAACCCAAACTGGGGTTCTGGTTTTAAAGGCATGGAGATCCAGGGAAGTTGCCCATGGTCAGTCCAAGGCAAGCTCTCATCTCCAATCCATGCTGTGCTTCAGCCTCCCTAAGTCACTGTGTAGTGAAAGTGCTTTGCACACAGGCTGATAAAATAATGAGATGCTTTCTCCAGTTGCTCTCCCTACTTTGGCCTTAGCTAGGAATATGGACAAAATCTTTTTTGTCAGATATTAAGTATTTGAAAACCTTGCTTCTAGTCCTCTAGCTTTAAATATTATATCTCTTTGAGATTTTGCTAAAACCACACCCCACCTTTTTGCAAAAGGCCCAAGGTAAAAAACTTCACGCTCGCCTTGGAAAAGCGCCGGCTTTCAGCGTGAAAGCTGGGACTGTTCCTTTAAACACAACCCCAATATGTCTGGGTATTTCAGCACATATGGGCCACGATGGTTAAACCCTACCCAGCTGGTCCGGCCGTTCTGCCGCGCAGCTCCGTCTTTGTTCGTGGCTCAAAGGGAGGGTGGTGAGAGACGGAGCAAGCTGTGAGTGCTGCGGGTTGCCATCCTGCGAGGGCGGGCTGCGGCCGAGCGGGAGGAGCGGGGCATGTCCCGCCCGAGGGGACAGCGGCTTCGCCAGACATTCTCCATGGGGGAGACGATGTCCTTGGAAGCAGGAGCTCGAAGGAGCCTTTAAACCGCCCGCAGCACTTTGTTCTCTATTTTCTGCCCTTCTCTCCCTTCCCCCTCCTGCCTTTTGTTGTTTCTCAGGCTGGCTCTAACGCGAGTCCCCCCATCCCAGCCATCCCCCGTGGGGACAGCCCCTTTCAGAGGATGGCGTGGATTCCTGCAAACGCAGGGAGGGATGTGGAGTGGAAAGTGCAGAATATTCCTTGCCAGGGGAAGGTGAGAGGTTTCCTTCCCTTTGGAGGCCCAGAGCCACCCCGTGGTGGCAGTTTTGTGGGGAATCAGTGTTGGTGCTGTTGGTGACTGGGGCATCTCTGGAGCTGGAGGTGTGTGAGCTCGGGTGGGTGGCTGATGCCCAGCCAGGGCAGGGGCTCAAATCCTGCCTCTCCTGCCAGGCAGTGGGGTGCTGGTGGGATGCTCCTGATCTCTGGCTGCCCCCAGGAAACCCCTGCCACCCATGCAGCACTGTGCAGGGCAGAGGGGCTTTGCTTCGCTTCCTTTTTTCTTTCTCGTGTGCAGCCTAAATACCTTCTTAATTTCATCTCATTATTTCCTGCCTAAATAATTCCTGTTTCTCCTGGGGACCGTTTTTAAACCTTTGATCTTCTCTGAAGTCTCACAGTCCTGATCACGTCCTTTCTGTTTAAATGAATCAAATGCCTTTTTGACTCATGATTTATAAATTTGCCCACAGAGGAACAGAGGCACACCTTGAAATCACCCACCATGTCCGTGGCTGGAGCAGAAATACCCTGGGTTGATCCAGAGCACCTCCAGCCAGACCTTCGTGCCTGGCTGCGCCGCTTCCCTGCTGCATGTCGCTCTCCCCCTGCCTCCCTCCACCCTTCCACCCGACTCTTCAGCTGACAACCGGCTTGCCTGGGCTCAGGCCCAGCCGGGAATGGCCATCTCCGGGTCAGGAGAAGGGTGAATGTGCCGGTGGTTGATGGATGCTGTCCCCTGGGAGCGGGGCACAGCTGCTGTGCTGCACGGCCCTGGCCCCCCATCTCCCGGGGATTGCTGATGCAGAGCACAGCGAAGGGCAGGGAGAGGAGCAGCTGTGCAGGGATCGGGGTTCTGGGCACTGGCTTGGTGCTGAGGCAGTGGTGGAAAGGCTGGAAGACAGCGGGTGTTGGCCAGGATGGATGTGATGAGGATAAACGTGTTGCTCCATAGTGCAGAGTTGCAGAAGCTGGGGAGCTTTGTTCCTGAGCCCAGGGGATGGTGGCTGGGAGGGCTGAGCACTCCTGGATGAGCCAGGGTTGTGGCAATGGAAAGTACCCGGGAGAGACCCCTGTACCATGGCCAGACCTCGCCTGCATCTCTGCTGTGTGGGCCCACACTTGTTGACAAGGACAGGCCTCCTCTCCAAGGCATTAGGGAAGCAGCTAATTAAGCTCTATAATGTTCCTGGGAGGTCAGCGGGAGATGTGCCAGCCTTGCAGCATCTTCCAGAGCCTGCACTGGGGTAGGATCTTCCCACAGTGCCCAGGGACAGAGGGGGAGCTGCCCTGCTCCTCCTCATTCCATTGTGCTCTTAGTCCTGGTGGGGTGGCACAGTGCTCAATGCCTCAGGACAGAACCTAATGTTCCCTGGCTCAGCTGGGCTCAGGATAGAGGGCTCCTGGCTGGGATGTCCCACAGCTCCCAGCAGCCCTCGGCATGGCTCCAGCAAGGCTGGGCAGTGGGGAGAGAGCCTGTACAAATATTATTGTTGTTGTTATTCCCCATAAATATATGCAGGCACTTAACGACCTTGGCATGGAGCATTTCCTGGGGATTCATGACCAGTGGGTGTTAATGGTCTTTAGCTGCACCTCAGGCCATCAGCTCCTCCCAGCCCATCATTAATCCACAGGAAATGTCTTGGGCATCGATCCTCATTGCTTAATTAATAAATGCAACTTGTCTCCTGCCTGAGATTTAGAGATACTCACTGCTTCTCTCCCTGCTGCTTTGAAGGTGACTTTTTTAGCACAGGTCCCTCACGCTGGGAGGCCCTGGTGGGATTTTGTTTCCTGGCATTCATGTGGGTGTGGGCTGTGGCAGCAGGAAAGTCTCTCCTGGGCGGGAGGGAAGGAACTGAGCTGCTGTTGGGTTTGGGGTTTCTCCAGCTAATGTGGCACAGCACAAGGAGCACATCTTTCCCACCAAACCCAAAGGCTTGCTTACCTTCAGCTGAGAGCATCCAAGAGCCTGGGCGAGAAGTAGCGTGAGCCAGCATGGAAGAACGTGGCAATTCTCCAAGGCCTTAGCAGGTTCTATAATAATCGATGTTTTTTGCCCATGAGTCACAATTCATCTCTAATCTTCCTCGGGGGAGGTGGGATTTGCTATCTTTAGTGCTCACGACTGCTGCTTTCCCGGGCTGAGCATCCCGCTGAGCCTGGACTCCTGCTGCAGGGATGCTGACCTGGCAGCCGGCTGCGTTTCAGTCCTGCTCCCTGTTTCTCTAGCCCTCACCACCAGCTGGCTTTGTGCAGTGGGTGCCGCAGTATAAATCATGTTAATTCCTGAGATGCTTTTCCGCGGTAAGTCTGAAATTCACATTTTGGTTCGCTGGCTTGCCCAGCGAACTAAATTATTTTCATAGCCCCTTAAGGGCATATTGTCAGCCCAGACTTATTGCCGTTATACACCATTTCTGAAACATTAATATCTCTTCTAAATATAGTGTATTGACAAGGTATCTGGTATAGTGTAAATCCTTGGGACATTTGATCCAGATCATTAAAACTGAGTGAAGGAAGGGAGGAATAGATCAAGTTACCTTGCTGCTCTTAATTCAAACAAGCGATGAATTATTCATTCCGCTATTAATTCTACAGTCCTCCTGCTTTTTATTTATTTCTCTCTTTATTTATTTTTTTCCTCCCAGATAGACAGTTCCAAAAGGATGCTCGGGCACTGGTGAGGGGAGATTTGCCTGCTGGAGGATGGGGTGCACAGGGCTGGGCTGTCTGGCAGCCCTGGCCGTGCTCTGCAGGGCTCTCGGGGATGCTCCCAGCAGAGGTAAGAGCCTGGACCCAGCTCCTGGTGGGCTGGATGGGCACCCATGGTTCCTGAGGAGGGGAGGGCCATTTGCAGTGCCACAGTGGCTCTGGGGTGCGAGTGGATTCCAGCTGTCCTGCAGGGAGAGGGGCTGGCTCAGGCCAGGGGCAAGGAGCTGGGATCTGGAGTCACTGTTGTGGTGGCAGCAAGTGTGGGACACTGCTCTGTGCTTGGGCTTCTGCTTCATGCTTACCTTACTGAGGAGTGCAGGTAGGGGTTGTCCTGTTGTGGGGTACAGGTGCTTTGGTGAAGGGTCTGTTAACTTCAGAGTTGCACTTGCCTCTATAAATCTATATACACATATACATTTATATGTGAATGTATGCATGTATGAGTATGTGGCAGGCATGCAATAAATCTCTCACCTTACCCAGATAAAAGGTCCTCCAGGATGCAGGGCAGGGTTAGCATATGACACAGTGATTCAGGGGATAGGGTGGCCCAAGCAGTCCCCCATCCCAAAGCAGCAGGGCCTTTCTCACAGAAAGGCTGAGCCAGAAATCAAAACCCATCCCTGGCCCTGGTGCCGGTGTTCCTGCGGCCACACCACTGCCCTGTGGTGCCTGCTCATCCCCCACACACACCCACCTGGGCTTGCCAGAGCACCCCAAGGCTCCCAGCCAGTCATACATCTGTCTTCACCGTGGCTACTCGCCTCTCCCACAAGCTCCCCCCTTGGGTATTTATTTTAACAACATTATTCCTTTAGTACCAGCCCCATATTACTTCACTGCCTATCCCCAGTGATTAGCAAGGTGATTTTAGATCTGGCCAGAAACACACTCATGGTGCTGCATCCCACACATCCCAGGATCCTCCTTGCTGGGAGGTCACTGTGCCAGTGAGCACGATGAAAAGCAATGTGCACAGGCTGACTATTGATTTGCAATATACTTGGCCCAGATTGATGGCAGCAAGCGCCCAGCCTTGTTTGGGAACCCACACATGTCTCCTGGGGGCTGTGCAGGGTCTGCATCCCTCCCAGACATGATGTATGTTCCCCCTGTATCAGCCTCTTCACCCCAGCCCTAATCAGACCCAGGGGCAGGTGACAGCCGGCCCCTCTCAGCCTTATTTTATAATAACCATGTCTCAGTATAAAGATTTCATTAGGAAATCGATCCCTACATGCATAACTCATTGTTCAGCACATCAAGCCCTTTACCCCCGCTTCTCCCAGCTCGAATTCTCTGATACCACCCTTGTGTGGAGGGAGTGGGGTCAGTGGGAGGCACAAAGCTGAAGGGCTGGGCAGCTGGGGCACAGGCGAGCCTGGTACCACGGAGCCTTTAAAACTCACTCCCAAGTTCCTTTTTCCCAGCCATAAACAGGTTGGGATGCTGTGCTGGCACTGGCAGGACAAGCTCAAGAGCGCAGCTGAACCCTGCTGCAGACCCCAAGGGGCAGCATGGGGAAAAAGGAGGGATGAAAGGTGATGGGGCACATGTGTC